ATTCCTCATTACAACAGCGAAAAATTGATGATTCTATGTGGACACGCCTAACTACAATTAAAACCATCGTCTACACTCTAGAAAGTAATAAAATTGCAAGATTTTGATAAAATACGTGACCGCGCGCACCTACTTTCAAACTTTGTCCTTCAAAGGTGTCAGAAATCCTCAACCATTAACTTTAACTCAGCTTTAACAAACTAAAATCCTTTCCCTCTTATTATGAGTTTAGCTAGATCACTTAGTTAGTCATCAAGAGCACTTTGGTATAAGTCCCCCACTATTATACATCAAAACCAGTTCAAGATAGTTTTATCCCAACGGCACTCCCCCTCTTTAGCTATAACTTTACCCGTAATCGTTTGATTAATGTCTCATACATATGCCAATGAGGTGCCAACAGTTATCTCCAAAAAACTTGCGTTACTCGTTCTTTCTTAGGCATATGGATGGGCCTAATCATATCCCTCGTGAAAGCTTTGGATCACTGGCTGATGAGATGGCCGACAGTGAGCGCAGTGAGGTGATGCAGCTTCGATTAGAGAATCGCAAATTGCGAGCTCATCTCGACTCAACAGAAAGGTAAGCAAGGATTTATTATTTTTCTAAATTTGTAGCAAAAAATGGGAAATTCCAGCTCTATGGTTGCATCAGCTGAGCTTGAGCAGCTCAAAGCTGAGTTGGAGGAACGAGAAAGGCAACTATCAGAGAATCGTGCCGAGCATGAACTTGTGCAGCGACAGGTGCAAAGTTTAGAAGAGGCTATAACGCAGTTAAATCAGGAAATCGTCGAGGTAAGTAACTTCGCTTAGATTTTTACTTTCACAATTTCGAATATTCCACATTTAGACGAATGCCGATCGAGAAAAATTGCGAACAGAGCGGGACGAGTCGGTAATGTCGTTAATTGATGCTCGAAAGAAATTCGCTCAGTTCCAGACTGAATTTGGCAGGAAATTCGAGCAGGAGGCGCAAACAAAGGCAAGTTTTCGATTCTTCTCGAAAGATTCTTGAATTTTCTAAAAATCTCAGCTAAATTCCTTTACTTTCAGGTTATGGAGATGGAAGCTGAGCTGCAAGATCTTCGTCGTAAACTAAGCTCAGCTGAAGAGGAACGAAG